TGAAGTGATAGACACCTACCACTACGAAAAGAGTTAGGAGTTTTTTAGGGCACGCGGATTCTACAGACGATACACTAAGGAGATAGACTCTCACCCATGTGGCGTTGCCACGCCGCCTCTTACCTAAAAATCTCTGTTCGAACTAGCGTGACCACGCCATCTTCGGGTGTGCCATGCCACTTGCTTGTCCTCGAATCATTTAACCAGCATGACCACACCGCCCATTGAGCGTTGTCACACCGCTTACTGTTCACCCGTGAAACAAGGATCGTGAATCATTGATACAAGCCGAATTTTTTTCCCTGATTCTTCATCTTCTTTATGAGAACTCCTCTTACAGCAGCTATTTTCATCTTTAGAGCTACAGGACACCAGATTCTTTGTTGAAATCTCGTCAAAAGTAAACAGTTAGATCAGGGCACGAACAGAAGGATTTTTGTGTCATTCTCCTCCAGTAAGTCCTCTTTTCCTCTTCACTTGATTTTCTCGCCAGAGGAAGATTTTTGTCAATTGATCTTGGCTCATTCCACACTTTTTCTCTGTTGAGGCTTTTTCCTGTGTCTTCCGAAGATTATTTGCTTTGTGTTTTTTTCTGTCGTGGCTCCTAGAATGCGCAGGAAAGAGAGTTCTCCCTCCACCTACGATCGGAAATGCTTTGTGAACCTTGCCTCTCAACAAAGATTTCTGAGCTTTGTGGGCAAGAAGAAGAGCATCACGGAATGTGCATTCCAATTTCTGAGGAGGGATGTTGAGGTTGATATTTTGAATCGGGGATGGCGAAACTTTGCCTATTCTGTCGAACTTGTCGGAGTCGTTCTCGTTTGTGAGTTCTATGCAAATGCAAAAGAATCCACGAACGGAAGAGTTTTTGTGCGAGGGAAGGCACTTCCTTTTGATGCCGCCACTATAATTACATTTTTTATGTCCCGGAGATTCCAAATTGTGGCTTTGGAGTTTCACCCTATCTGATTACCTGTAGGTGATCAGTCTTCTCACTGCTTCCACAGGGTCGTGGAAGACACATCCTGGCAATTATGGGGAAGTTCTAGTTAATTTTCCCATGACCTATTTGACCAGGAAGTCCAGTGTACGACATTATTTTATTGTTGCTCGATTACTCTCCACCACTAGTTTGACAGATGTTACGAAAATGTTGGTCGTTCTGAAATAATGTGTTCAAGAAGGAATTTCTATTGACATAGGGCAACTGATTCACGAGCCCATAGTCTACATTACTAGTTGATAGTCTACTGTAGGTCTAGATCATCCTAGCCTTATCACTAACCTATGCTTGAGGGAGGGATTAGTAGCGGATGACGATGAGGAGCTTCTGCAGACAGCTGCAGAAGCCGATCAAATTTACTTTTGTTCAGGGTTATGCCTCGCCATCTGTTGCTTCTCCTGAGCGGGGAGAGAGTTCTTCACGACGTCGAGCGTCAGTTTCACATGAATCCCCCTCGATGACCTGAACCGAGACATGAGGGAGATGCTGACACTTCAGGTAGAGTTGATCAGAGACGTTAGAAGCCTCTGCAGCACACAGGATACCATGCATCGGAGCTTGACGACCTTCACCGCCAGTATGCATATTATGCTAACCAGCACCAACAGCAGTGCGAGTACTTCCATGGCCGGCTGGGAGCATTCCAAGAGCGCTAGGGGATGAACCTGCGCTACCACCACCACCTTTCACCATTTGGAGCCCGACACTTGATCCCTCCACTCGAGACCCAATGGATGAGACTGACCGAGGAGAGTAGAGAGATTGTGTTTTGTGTTGTTGATTAATTTCTTTTCTACACTTGATCTGTGTATTGGATTGACTGTGGATGCTATCTTTGTAATCTGATAGTTGGATGCGATTGTAGTTGACTTTTCATGCAATACATTATTTTGCTACATGTACTTTATGCCACCTGCACTTTTTTACTTTGAGCAGTTGGATAGCATGTTCCCAAATTTTTCTCTACCTGTTAATAGCTTGAGCTATGGTTCATAGCCTATGCTGTTGTATATTCTGTTGTGCATTATTCATATATTGCTAGTAGGGTGTGGAACAAGTTTGGGGAAGGAGTCATCATCAAGCTGCCACAGATAATTCATAAGCTTGCAAAGATTTGTTTTTATCGTCACATTTCATAAGCTTCTATTAATATTAAGAAGAAAAAATTACATTAAGAAAATGTGAAATTTATTTAAGTTAGCGTGTAAGTGAATATTAGTAATTGAGTGCCATAAATGATTTTCTTCGATTTAAACATAGGAATTTTTAAAAATTTTAGAAAGGTGGAATTGTGAGATCAAAGACTTCTAATTAAAATTGCTTAGCACATAATGTCCTATTTCAATAAGGGATGAAGCTTAACGTGATTGAATTTATTTGGGAACTAGGAAACATGATAAGAGGTAGGTAAGCATTTGATTAAGATAGACTTAGAACTTATAAAAAATTGGAAAAAATTTTGATTAAACCTAACCAGATATAATAATTCTTGTAGGCCTCATATAAATTAAAAAAATTAAAAATTAAAAAATAAAAGAAATATTTGTTCGAAAAAGTATATGGATGGCCTGGAGAGAAGCTTGAGGTTAAGAACTTGGAGATCTCACACTTTGATATTCTAGATTCTCCCTATGTCCAATAATTTACCCATATCTTTATCAGAAATCTTAGGGAATTTATAAATTCATGAAAAGTTAATGGGAAACCTTAGCGGCAATAAGAATTAAGTGTGTAATCACTTATAATCAGAAAGAATGAAATCATAGTCCCACCAATCTAAATGAAAAATAATTTTCATGTTTAATTAGAAAATAGATCATGATAGGTATAAGATTGTAATTTTCAAAGAAATTCTAGCTTGAAAATGAAGATCACATGACCTTAATAAATTTTTCACCTCCTATTTGATTAATGAGACAAAGAATTGCACGAAAGAAAGTTGTTTTTATTTGAAAATTTGAGCATGTTAAAAGGATTACTTTAGCACAAGTAATGGGTAAAGTTTGGGGGGATTGATATGCATCAAATTTTAATGTTTTTCATGTTTTAATTTCAGCATTTTCCTTCTTCAAATAAATGATTTTACATTTTTGGAAGGTTGGAATTGCATTTCGCAGATTACTGCAAAACTAGCACGAAAATTAGAGTGAAAACGAGGGACTTTAGAAAAATCAACACTTGTGTAATCATGCCTGAATCAGGCATAACCACGCCACTTGAGTAGCATGGTCATGCTCAATTTACCAAAACAAACCGCGCGAAAGAGCTTCTGGCGTAGCCACTCCGAAAGCAATGTAACCACTCCGCCCAACCCGAACCCACGGCGTAATCACGCTGCAGGTTGGGTGTGGTCACGCAATTGGGTATTTTCATATTTCTAAATTTTTTTAAGTGCGGGATTCTGACGAATTTGGAAAGATTTTTGAGTTCATTCTATTAAATCATTGTAATTGGAAGATTTAGGGAGTTATTTGCAGAGAGAGTTGCAGAAAAGGCTAGGGTTTCTTCTCTTCTTCAAGATTTTCTTTTGTTTGTATTTTCTGAAAGAATTGTGAGAGATATTTGAAACTAGTCTTGTAAGAGAGGAGATCAAAAGGTTGTAAGCACTTTTTATTGCGATAAAAATGTTTCTAGCGGGTTTTATTTTCATGAAATTTTTTTTTGTTTTTCTCTCGAGCCATGAGTAGCTGAACAATTTTTTCATGCCACTGTGATTCTTGGGATGGTTTTCATGGTTTCGATTTTATTTTGGATTTCTCGTATCGTTTTCTGTGTTTTGAATTGTTAAAAGTTATTAGTTAATTTTTTGGCCTTCATTTACTCTAAGCTGGTCAGTTAGGACGTTAAAATTTATCATGATCTACGACTTTAGCAGAAGCATAGTAGAACGAATAAATTAACCGCAAGATTCGAATAAAATAGGAATATTTTATTCTGAACCTTGCAACAAATTTTAGGAGATCGAAACTTATTGGGGACACCAAAAAGATAAACGAAAGCTAACTTTGTGAAATTTCAAATCTTCTTAGGGACCTAGGCATAAACTTAAAAAGAACTCAATATCCCCGATTGACAACCACCACGAAAGAAAATTTTGTATGAAAATCAAGCCAATACACACCTAAATCACATAGGCACAATCCTCATTACTATTGGAAAAATACCAACAGAATTTATACCTAGTTTTCTTCTGTTTTGCTTTCTTTAAAATCTACAAAGTCTAGGATTTTCTTTTTTCCCTACTTTCTGAATTCGCAGAACTAGGCTGGAATAGTTAGTAAATAAGAGGTTTTGCCTTTTCAAAACAAGTTCTTAACAAACTTTTCTTGTGGGATCGATATGCGGTACTCTTTAACCGCATTATTACTTGACGTGTATGCTTGCGTTGTGCGGCCAACTTACTTCGCGGTACGTTTTGGCGCGTCGTGATGTTCATTAGTTGAAGCATAAACAAGAAGAATTGTTCGTGAATTTCCAAGAAAGATAAATTAACGTCCAGTTCTGCCAGTTTATTGTATGGAAAATAATCTCAAACAGTTATAGGTATGACATACATTTCCATCATCTTCATTATTATCATGACATTTATAGGTATAATATACGTGAACATAATCTTCATCATTATCATCAATATTCAATACATTTGTTCTTTCAGCCAAAAAAAAACTAACATTGAAACCGTTCTCTATGGATAGAAGTAATGATAATTTGTTTGATTTAGCGGATGTTTATTGCTATTAAAAACTTGCTGGAGACAGATTAAGCAAAATAGAGTTAATCATCATGCAAAAAAATATTTAAAAAACATGCATATCCAACATAATGACGAGATAGTGTTAGCATATAGTTTTGATCCATAACTTACCTATAATCAAATAGAGCAAGATGTTCACATTTTAATTATTGTTAGCATATAATAAACATAATGTTCCACCTGAGAAACAGAAAATAATCATTAATCCAGTTTGATAGAGATTGGGGACAAAGAAAATATCACCTTAATTGAATGACCTTGATTTGCTCGGATAAGGAGTTCTCCATTTTCCTCCAGGAGGCTAAACCTTTGCTTATTATCTCTTCGCACAGCCTAGAAAATATATAAAATCATGCAAAATAATTTATAACCTCGCACACATTGAATTTGCACTTTTTAAAAAAAGTATGGAAAAGGGACAAGAAAAATGTGATAAGTGAACCACTAGCCCTACCAAACTTCAGGATAAAAAATTTACCGAGACTCACAAAATTGTAATTCCTCAACATTTTCTAAAATGTGCACGATATTCCATTTAATTGATTGCCATTTTTTTAGAAAAATTGTTCCTAAAATTTAGCCATCCTCGAAAGTAAAAGTGATGTCAGTCTTCAGCACAGTCAAGATCAGTTCAACGTATATTTCTTGTAGGCCAATCGGAAAACTAGATGGATGACTCAAAACAACAAATAAGCCTCCCTAAAGCCTTGGCCGACCCTTCTCTTCACACAGCCTTTTTTTTTTGTATTTATCTTAAACTTTATTATTTTGAATTGAATAACTTAAAGGTAGTTTAAATTTTAGTCCTTAGTTGTTTCTCTCTAATTATGCTAACCCTAAGATATTCATGATTGAATTGAATTGAAAGCCTGGATTTTTTTGGTCTTCCTTAGCCTTTGAATAGAAATGTACTCTAGCCTCCTCCCTTCTCCAGATCAAAGAAGGGGGTTGTGGTTGTAAGTTGTATTCGTTATATTATTTTCTTCCCTTTTTCTCTTATTCTAGTTCTTAAAAGTATATTTTAAGCTTTTACTTATTTTCATTTGGTTTAATGCTCAAATAGTCAATTTTTCTTCAAGTTAAATGAAAAATGGAATCCTCTCCATCAGCAAACCCGGTGTCTTATCCATTCCACTTCAAGATCTCTACTTTAGGAGAAAAAAAAGGTTGAAAACAAGAACACGCAATCAACTTCTGACATAAAATCATTCCATAAGAGCCATTGATCCACCTCCATCAAATTTTGAAATTCGAAAACAGTTCCCATCAAGGCAAACCCCGGTGCCCATCTTCTTATGGCCAAATATAGGAAAGTAGGTCAATGTAGTTACCACTGTTCTTCCAATCTTTATGACATCACCAACTAAGGTTAGAAATTTGGGTCAAAGATCAAAGATCGCTCAAAATTCAGATAATATTTTGGTTTTATGGAAGTTAATCAGCCAAATAATGAGCTAAGTCTCGGCCCATAGCTCGAATCAAAATTGAATAAAGCTAATCCAAATCAGACAGAGAAATAAATGTCTATTCGTATGAATGTGTACATAGATGTTTGAATGACTGTGTATGCATCTATGAATTTATATATGAATCTACATATATGTAAATGTATGTGGATGTTGTAAAAGAATTTGCCTCAGTTGTTTGAATATTTATTGAGATTCAATTGTGTTTTTGCTCAAATAGAATTTAACAAGCCATATTTCGCTTGAATCTAGATTGGATAGAGCAAATCTGTAGAAACGCTTAGCTTTTCTTGAGATCAAGCTGAAAATTTAAGATAATCTTTAGTCGGGGTTAGATGGGCTAAAGATAAAATCATTAAGAACCTCATCTTTGACCGTTTTCCTTAAACCTAATCTTTGGGAGCAATTATGCATATAATCGCAATTTAGAAGAAAAAAAAGCAAGCATTTAATTTCAATGCTAAAAATTAAAGGCTTACAAATCCTAATTATGCCAACAGCACATCCCACCTAATAATCAAATTTGCATCCATCCAAAGTTGTGAGTATCTCTCCCCTACCCCCTTAAATTGAAAATAAATTCCTTACTGCATCAAAAAATAACCACAAAACAACGCATTAAATTCTTCAGTCAAGTTTATCTTACCAAAAATTGCACTTGTAGATTGATCTATCGGAACAAAGCAAACATAGCAAAAAAGAGAAGATCTAAATTAAGGGGACGCCTCTAAATAGCACTGCAACAAGATAAAGCACTACATCGTATTGGAAAAGTTTTGATTTGATTGTGAATTGCAATCTCACTAACTTGACACTGGACTACATGACATGAGTGCCTTCAAAACTTACTCCAAGTCTGTCCATATATTACTATGTCTACATGCTTCACCTTACTAGATATTGAATTCATGAATAACTTGTTATTAATTAAAATTGGTAAACCACAAGCAAATAATTAAAATTGGTAAACCACAAGCAAATAACAATTCAAAAAAAAAGGCATGTGTTAGTTAGTCTTATAAAATATATAAATTTTTAAGTGTTAGATATCTAATTATCTCGTGTTAAGATCATGAAGCGTTTTAGCATATTGCTATTCTCAAATAAGAGATACTGTGCCAGACATATATATCAATTTGAATACCAATTCACATTTTTAGCATAGCCTTGTTGTATGGTTGAAAAGTTCTAGAACCTATACTTGTGTTAATAGGTCTTCCTATAAATGATTTTCATCAGATGGAGCTATCCAACCCACATCGATGGTGGGTGATGATTACAACCATTACTCCATTGTGTTACTTCCATCATATTTATTTGTGGGTCAAATAAATATGATATAAAATCAATGTCATCTCACCATCCATCTCAATCAATATAAGTTACATGTGTGATTATCATAGTACAATTAAAAAAAATGAAATTAGACAACAAAAAAAAGGTAATAAATACATCATCAGATAAAGTTGACAAAATTTGTATATATCTATCATTTTATTTCTTGACCATTTTGATTATAAGCAAAGAGTAATTTAGTTCTTTATTTGAATTTTTTTTTTTTTAATATTCACCTTGTATAGAGCATTGGGATTAATGATGACTATATTGAATTGAAAGCTTCAAAATTTTGGCACCATTAACCTTAGAATAATTGGAAACTTGCCTCTTTCCTCCTCTTCCAATTCCTATTTATGCAAGTCGATTGCTCTAAGTTGCAAGTAAGGTTCTTCCTCCCCCTTTCCTCTTCTTTTGGTTCTCAAGGTGCATTTTTCACTTATTTTCCTTCAGTTGTATGCTCGAATTCTTTTCATTTTAAATCAGAAGCGAAAGTAACAATCCATCAAGAAACACTAGGTTTCATCCCTGCCTCTTTAAAAGAACTCTACCATAATTGAGGGAGAAGGCCGAATTCTCAAACTACCACTATAAACTTTTAATATCAAATCCTTCATTTAATAAAATATTAATAGTCACCTATCTAACCTCCATCAAAAGCAAGCTCTATATAAACTATATGGTTTATAAAGATAGGAAATAACTACTACGCTGACAATGATAAACAAAAAAAAGAAGTGCCTTTTGTGCATGCTTACAAATGTTATAGCCATAGAACAAGCTATATCTTTAACTAATTGCTACCACATCATATATGTTGGATGGAGCTAAGTTTTGAAAATGATAATTGTTAGATACAAACTTAGTATGATCTAAACTTTCCTTCTCAGAGTTACAGGATTCCAAAAATTTTGATGAATATTATGATTGAGCCATGTTGATATTGAGAATTTAAGGTGTGATATCGAATGAAACTAAGGGCGCGTTTGGAGCAGCTTATTGGCTGTGGCACGGTGGCAAAATATCAGATTAGGTGTTTGGTTCGAACAGTGAGGCAGCGGTTTCCAAAACTCGGGCCACGGGCTCAACTCAGCAATCCACACTTTTTCATGTCCCTTTTACCTGGTTGTCCCTCTTTTTTGTGGTTTGAGGTCCATTTCTACTCACTTGCGTCTCTGCCTCGCTCCTCTTATCTCTTCTCTCGTGTCTCTGCCCTATGTATTTTCTCTTCTCTTGCTTATCTCCGGTCTTTTGCACCGATGGCGTGGATTGCCCGTGTTTGGTTCTTTTGCTCTCCATCATCGTTTAGTACCTTCTACCCTTTCTCTTTGAGGTTTATTTTCTCTCTCAGTGGTTTTGCTCTTTGTGGTGTGTGGTTCAATGCGTTTTGTGGCTTGTTTTTTGCGGTTTGTGGTTTTGCTCTATAAATAAATTGAATTTCTATGCTAGAAGGAAGAGATTTGGAATTTTCATTTTTTTTTTTTCTGTGAAATTTAGAGGTTGTTCTTCGGGTTTGTTCTCTGTCTCGATTGGGTTGCTATTAGTCGTTTGCTCTCTTTCTCAAACGGGTTTCTCATTTTGGTTTATGGCCTCTGTGTATGCCCAATGATTTTTTTTTATTCATCTCACGGTTTGGTTGCTCTTTGTGGTTTACTCTCTTTCTCATATGGGTTGCTCATTATGGTTTGTGGCCTCAGCGTATGCCCAATAACTTTTTTGTTTGATTACTTCATCTCGTGGTTGGGTAGCTGTTTGTCTCGGTTGAGATGATTCTCGTCTCACTTGTGATGATGGTGTGTTGGTGGTAATGATGTGGCAATGGTGGTGGTGATGGTGGTAAATGTGTGGTGGCGGAGATGGCAGCGGGGTGAGGGGGTGGTGGGGTGGTATGTATGGTGGTAGTGGCGGTATGGTAAATGTGTAGTGGTGGTGGTGGTGTAATGGTGATAGTATATTGGTTATGATGATGTGATGGTAGCATATTGACATTGATGATGTGATAGTGTTGATGGTAAATATGCGGAGGTGGTGCGTTGGTGGTGGTGGTGGTCGTCGTCGTCGTGTATTGGTTATGATGATATGATGGTGGTGATGTGTTGATAGATTTCAGATGTTTTTTTCTATAAAATTTCCAGCTATTGGATTTTAAATTGTATTTTATGTTTTGACGAGTTAAAATTTTATTGTCTGCCAGAAATTATGTTGTTTTGTTCTTTTCTTGCTACTAGTCGTGATGGGTAAGACAAAAAAAAATTGGTTCGTCTGCTATGTGAGATAAAAAGGTGAAGCTAATAATTTGTGAACAGTTAAAAAAGGATTAAAAATATATAAAAATAAATAAAGCGAGGATTCATGGGCTTGAGTTGGGATCCCATAAAGCGAACAATCGATGCTTCAGAAGAATACATGGTAGAGAGATTGGAGGTAAGAATTTATGAAACGTCCAGTCCTTCCACTGTTTTATGTCAATTTCAATTACATCAACATATCAATCATCAATTAATTTGTAGGTCGTGACAACTGTCAAAAAGTTCAAGTCCAGCGGCATTAACCCTAAGCTTGAAGAAAACATGGACCATCGTGAAGTCGTGGCCACAGGTGAGAATGCATTGGCACCAAGCAACAAAGTGCATGCTAACAGAGTAGAGCATGTAGATGTTTAGAAAATTATTGAGTCAATTGACAGTTCCAACCCTAACCTAATGAAGTTGAATATACTAGTTGTTACAAACGTCCTAGGGATGAGAAAAAAAAAATATGGTGCAATTTTCATTAGAAGTCAGATTTCACAAATAGTTGATTCATGCACAAATGAGTTTAGCACATCACATTCAATTTCTATTCAATAAGTTATGATAATTCTAGAAGAAACTCCATAATTAATCAATACATGTCATATTACTTATTTTCAATGAAGTTGTTAGAATACCCAAATATAAGAGAGTTCATTATGTTGATGACACCAGACCGTAGGGTGAATTATTTACACTACTTTAATAATAATCAAGATATTTGAATCTTATTTTATTTGTGGGACATCTTTATGTTCGATTGATATAGAGACATTTTTTTATGTACCAGCAAAACAATCTTTCATTACTTTTGGAATTTTCATTATCATGATTTTTGTTTAATGAAGTACTTACTAATTTAGTGTTATTTATATGTGTTAGTAGCATCAACAGTGAATAACATGGATAGAGAAAGACAAAAAATGTTTATTGTGATGACACTTTATGCAATGATGTTCATGTGAAATCTCAATTTAGTGTAAATCATTTTTTCAGCCCTACATATATGCTTCCCCACATGGATGGTCTCCTAGGCAACTGTGAGTTTAATATATATTTTTTTACATTTTTTTTTTTTTTTGAGGTGTATGATGAGATATATGACCATAGAAGTTCTTTTGGATGGCATATACATTTATATGGGTTTTGACATGTATGAAATTGTCATCAAGGCAACCAAGATTCCCACTTTTTCAGCTATATAACTGTTAGGGTTCTTATGGATGTTCTTTGACGTGACACATACGAGCTTGGTATTATATGATATAAAGACAACCAATGTCCTCTTTCTTTAAGGTCTTTTGTCTTCTTGCAAAGACAGATTATTTGTCGATTTTTCCTTTGCTCTGAAACATCACAATTTTATAAAACTTGAATTGTGTTTTTCTCTTATTCTTATTAGTTAATGTTGCATCTAATTGTTTGTGGTTTGTGATTTTAAACCTTCAAAAAATATAAGTATGAGGTTTTCAGGTGTCTTTAGAGTTTTATATTGCTACTATGGACTGCAGTATTCTCTACATACTTCACAAAAAAAACATAGTTACGAGAAAAATTTTACAGGTGTTCAAGGAACATATCAAATGAAGATTGTGACTTCTTCAGGTGAGCGGATCAGTTCAACGATTCCACCTCAGATACTGATCAGGCATGGAGAGTTTCTTTGAAGAAGAGATTATCGCATGAAATTGATCATCTGCATTTTAAATTCAATATCATGATAATGTTAATTATTATTTTAATAGTTTTGTTTTTTACTTTTGCTTCTTTTGTTATTGTTTAGTGTGATATCAATTTTTAGTTGTAATAGTTAAACTTATGAGTTTTGGGGGATGTTAAATCAAATTTTTATTTTCATGTATGAGTTATTCAACATGGGCTGATTTTGTTATAAATAGTAGAGCAATACAAGGGCAGACATGCTTTTTATTATAAACAACCGCAACACCTCTTACTGCACAAAACAAACAGACATATAGCTTCCTCGTAGCGGCTTTTAGTAGCATTTTTCTGGCATAGCTATTGCGCAAAAGCTTTTTAATAAGCTACAATTGTCTCAAACATGCCCTAATTTTTACTTATTTTGCATCCTAATAAGAGTGGGCTCAATGCCTACTAACTATTTGGGGTCTTTGTCAAGTTGATGCCCCGTTGAACATTGAATTCAACCTCTAAAGTCCATGTCTAATAGTTGAATCTCGATAAAAAATAAATACAATATGCCCCTTACATCAAACACACACTGTTTAAAAAATCGGATGAAATCGGTCGGTTCGACTGTGAACAAGCTAGTGGTTCGGTTTAGAGCAGGCTAAAAACTACCCCTAAATTGGACTGGCTATAATCGGCCTAAAACGACTGTCCAACCTTAAAACCGGCAAACCAGTCGCAGTTCAAATGAACCGTTTTATATTTATTTTTATATTTTTTGGACAATCCATGAATATTTATATTATAAATCTCAGCTACCGAGGATTTGAAATTTCATGCCCGAAAAGCTTCGCAGCTAAGCCTTCCTTTTATAGAGATATTAAGAATGTCTAAAGACAAATGTCGATGTGGGACTTAAGGTAACTAGGAGAACTTTCATTTGAATGCATCAGATTCTATGGAGTATTTTTAAGAATATTTATATACATACCACTCAAATCTTATTTATTTACATATCTAACTCCTAAACTTGTATTTTTTATAAATATACCACTCAAATAATTTTTAAAATTAAAAAAGTTAAGCATTTGTTTAATACATACAAAAATTTAATATAAAAATATATAAATAAATATTATTACTTAATTATTTAATTATTTTGAGCCAAACAAACAGAACAAAATGAGCAAATATTTATTTGGGTTCGACCCGTTCATAAATCGAGCCCAAAAATATTTGTATTATTAAATTATTATATTATTATTAAATTATTTTGGATCATATTTAATTAATTTTTATATTTATTATGTCATTCGGTTCAACCCTGGTCGAACTCATGAATCTGGAACATGTCCTTCTTCCAGTTTGATATCCAGTCTGATTTTCACAGCCTTGCAAAAACCCACGAGTCGATCTAACAAATATTAAGAATATAAACAATAAAACAAGCAATCATAAGTAAAATAAAATGAATGAATCAAAAAGCTCAACAAGAAGAAATTACACATGTTTTAACAACGTAAGTATTAACATTTTTGAATGAATAATGCTACACAACTCAAATCCGCAATTAAAATAGGACCTCATCAACTATCATTATTTGCTACTGTAAAAACTGTTTAATGATTGGTGTTTAATGATCACTACCAAAAAATAAGATTTTTTCCGTGGATATTAGGTATCATAGTCATATAAGAGATATACTCAAAGATGCCTTCCATTCATATAAACATATTAATTTGATATGAAGTAATTAATATAGAATATTTTACTATATATAAAGTTAGGAAAATTTGTATCACCCAAACATTTATATTTACATTATGATATGTTGGTGTCATAAATCTATGAATAAAAAGGTGTATTAAACTTTTGAGAAGTTAATAATAGTGTTTTTTTATGGGCTGCAAACAATTTGAGTGTTATATTCATTAATATTAAAATTTAAGATTTAGATATGTATATTCATAAGAATTATGTGGAATATTACACAAACACAGTCTTTTACCAGATTTTAAGACTCTTCATTAGATTAAGACATTTTGCTCAAATCTAACTTTTTTATCCATATACGAAGAATCCCAGAGAATAATTTATTCAACCCACTTTTTTAAAAGAATTATTGTTTAGATGTACTCTAATTTTATATAGAAAACCATATCAGAGGAAGCCAAAGCATTGGAAATAAATGTGGAATTGGTAGCATCCCATTGTATGATTATCGATATTAATTTCACAAACAAAAGCTATTTCTACTGACCTCCTTCACATCCTCAATAGTGTGTGCTCTTAGCGGCACTTTAGCATACGTAGTTAGATTCAGCTTCAACAAGTCGCCAACACGAACAAACCCATCACTTCTCATTTCCAAGTTCACCTCAGCAGCCATATGACGAAGAATCCTAGTCCTGAAAATTTAATCAAAATGGCCCAAAAATCTATATAAATCCCGCTAACTGGAACTGAAAAGTTTTGTCCAAGATCCAACGGAAGACAATTTTGATATTAGATATAAGAGATTGGTATGGAGAAGTACATTAGTCGACCAAGGGCATCAATCCGATGGTCCTCACCGCCGACAGAATCTCCCTTACTGAAATCCCTCCCCCGCCCTCTCCCGCTTCTGAGAGAAAAAGTATCATGAACCCTGATTAGGACATGAATGAAAACATAGTGATTGGAACTAGTCGGAGATTACCTTTTGCTGGAGGTGGCTGAAGAGGAGAAGGGCTTCGAGTGATGGGAATCAGCTGGGTTCCCCTTGTCCATGCAAAGCAGAAGGATGGGATGTGGAGCACTTACTGGACAGAAGAATTTGAAGAAAGAAGATGAAGGCGGAACTCGATGAAGCGAGGATAGTCGAAAGAGGCGGAGGGCAGAACCAATCGAAGCTCGCATCTAGGGGCTCTCTGGTAACGGATTTAGAGCATGACTCTATCGCGAGGTTTCCGGCGCGAAGGAGATGCCTTCAGGCGAAAGTGGAAGGGGGAGCGAAGGAGAGGAGATAGCTCTTTCGTTTTAATTTATTTTTATTAAAGTTAATTTTATTAATTTGATTTATTAATATTTAATGTATTATCAAATTAATTGAAGTTAGATAATCTACATGTAATGCAAAATTCACCATTGTAGGATGATTGTTTAGAGTATTTTGCTTAATAAAACTTTATTTAAATAAATTATTATTATCTTGTACTAATTAATAATTAATTATTTCAAAAAAAATTAAATTGATATTTAACTACTTTTAATAGAATACTTGGGGTCGGCTTTATGAATCTTTTTTCTCCATTAAGTCCTATTCAGTGTCATATTTTTATTTAATTCTAATTAATTAAGATCATCCTTGTACAATATGCCTAAATTTTTCTAGGTCTGTCTCTACCTTTTTTAATATAGGTCGAATCTAAAACATTTACTCTCCTAACCGGATCATTAGATGGTTGACGTTTAGTGTGGTTAAGCCATCCAAAATGATTCTCTCTAATTTTGTCAGCCACAGGAGCTACACCAACCCTATCATGAATATATTCATTTCGCATTTTGTCTCTAAGTGTAAAGCCACTCATCCACCCAAGCAATCTCATCTCAGCAACACTTACACTTATTTTTATGCTTCTCTTTTAAAGGTCAGCATTCTGCGCCATAGAGCCTTATAGGTCTGACCGTCATCTTATAAAATTTTCTTTTCGTCTAAGGGTACGTTTAGGTCACTTATCTTACGCGGTGCAGCCTCAAGTCGCACATTTTTCGTTCGGATGATATGTTTTGGGGGCGTTTTGGATAATTTCGGCAGAATGCAGGCCGCAAGTATAACCCCTCGGCCCTCATTTTCTATTATATGTCGCTACGTTTTTTTACTAACTTATCACGAGCCCTCTTTAACAACTAAGCTTCTCCCTCTCTTCTCTCGTGACCACACCGAGCTTTTCCCTTCCCTTTCTCGCGACCGAGATTTACTCTCCCCTTTCTCATTTCAAGCTTGTCTCTCCCCGGTCGCCTCCTCATGTCCAGTTTGTGATCCATGTCTCGTATTTGCTTGGATCATTTCCTCTCCTTCGGCCTGTGGTATTCTCTTCCAACTTGTGTCTGACATTATGTTTTTGTGATTAGTTTTTCTCTTGTTGGCTTTCGATTGATTGTTCTCTTGCTGATTTTCGATTAATTTTTGATTAGATGTTCTCTTTGCGGTTTTTCTTTGGTGTTGAATTTTCTTTATCTAGGTGATGCCCACCGTGGATTTGGTGGCGGTTGTTTGATGGGCTG